AACGCTGAAAAAGATTCCAGCAACACGGCTTTCACGTTTGACACCTGCTCTGGCCAACTTTGACCCTCTACTCAATGAATACTTCTTCGATCGTCACCCCGGTGTTTTTGCTCAAGTTCGTTACGACACTATTTTGTACGCAGAACGTGAAAAACTGATGCCAAATATATTTTTGTAGGCAAATGTACAACGGTGTTCTTGCTTTTATGCGTGTGACCATAAAAAATATTCCTAGGTTTTACACATTTGCACTGCAGCAGTAGTGCAAAACGCATATTGTCAAACAACTAATCTGGAAATTTTCGGAGGATATTTTTACGCCATGCGCGATCCTGGAGTTTTCAATTTAGTTTCTATCCACAACTAGGTATCACATGAAAGAACTCTGATGTGGGGAATTTTCTGGCAGGGAGTGAGAAAAGATAAAAGACAGGAACTTTAGCAGGCTGATTTTCCCTGTGCGTATGCAAACGTGGGAATTTAAATTCAACTCCCCTACGTGGCTGCTTCCCGCATGTGGGCACGTGGAAGTTTTATTGGAGAATAGCTGATCTTTTCAGTTCGGAAACCAGGGAAGTTAGAAAGCTTAGAGTTTAGGAGGCCGTTTACTACTCAAGCGGGATCATGAAATTTAATTTTAATTATCGTGTACGCTTGATTCTCGCGCATGGGCACGTGAAAGATGAAATTACAGAGGCGTTCTTGCTATTCAGATTCGGGGACGAAACGAACTAGAATGCTGAAATTTTGCCATTTTCAATCCTGAAAAATAGCCAGCTCTTGTATGTTTTGCCACATTCACTTCTGTGAGCCTGCTATAGCGAAAAAACAAAATTGTGCTTGCCTTGATGAATTGCTGTTTAGTTTTGTTTCTTCCAATTCAGTTTTCAAAATTTTAGATTTTGAATTACTATCGCACCGGTAAGCTGCATTATCCTACTGATGTGTGCGGCCCATTATTCGAAGAGGAATTGGAATATTGGGGTCTGGATGCAAATCAGGTCGAGCCGTGCTGTTGGATGACGTACACTCAGCATAGGTCGGGCTATAAATCTTTGCTGGATGGTGATACATTTTTAATAATTTCTGTTTCGTCTCAGTGACACAGACTAAAGTGCTTAATACACAAGAGTGAAATTTTTTAGAGACAAACATGCACACACACAGACAGACATTTCAGCACCTATCCATTTTTATTATGCGTTTTTGCTGTGCAGCGCTATCGTTAGCAACTCGGACCTGAACCCAAAAATCGTTAGCAACTCGGACCTGAACCGTCAATTATACATGCAAATGAACTTGCATTTTTTGAAAAACGACCGTTCGGGCAATACTTTCAATTTT